ACACATACATACTGTAATACTGGAGCTCACAGTGAGTACGAATCTGCTCAGAAGGAAAATCTCATATTTATCAGTTTCATCGTGTTCAAGAGGAATTTTAAAGTGACGGAGAGAAAACCAGCCACTCACTGTGTTGTAGACTGAATACGCTGAAAGAACATGGAAGAGGGACGTCTGCCTGAAGAGAGGACGAGAGGAAACGAGTGAGGAGAAAGTATCAGTGTCACTTATTCAATAATTCGATGAATCGTGTGACACTGAGGTTGTGTGTGATTCATACGGTTCCTACAGAGAACCGTCAAACGTTCTGTCTCATAGAGAACACAGAGAACCAAGAAACCACAGCTAACAAAGAACTCAGAACAGAGAGAACACAAAGAACACAGAAGAGAAGAGAACACATAGAGGACAAAGAAACAGAAAGAACATAGAAAACAGAAACAGAGAACACAGACAGAGAGAACTCGGTTCTACCGCTTCTCTCTGTCTTTATAAAACTCTCGGTTCTTGCAGAGCCTTGAACTCATATTAAATATTGAAAACTGCCCCAGATTTTCCACCTCCGCTCCAGAACCGGCCTGCGGTCTATTAAACTGTCAGTGACATCACTGCGTTACAGGATCAGGTTCCATCGGCCGCCTCTCACACTCGCTCCGGTTCACACCGAGGTCACAAGTCTCCGCTTCTCTTCCTCCTCAATCCAGACTGAAGTGAAACTGATCCACATTAAACAACCTGGACACGAATCAGAGGAACGTGGACACCCGAGCGTGTTGTTCCACACCAGAAACAAACTCTCTGGTTTCCAGATGTTGAAGGATTTCATCTCACGTCCGGAGCCTGAGTGAGATCGACCACTAATGAGTGCAGGAGCGTCCACTTACTTTTGACCACTGAGGATCTTCACAGACACCATTTCATGTTTTATCCTGTTACACATTAAAGTTGAATTCAAATAAAAAGTTCCAGGTTCTGATGCTTCAGTCTCACTCATGATCTCTAGATTCTTCATGTGAATAAACTGATCTGGAGGCGAGGGACCAGATTTCGGTTTTTAATTGAATATGCAGATGTTAAACGAGATTAGACAAACTGTCGTCTGGACGTTAATAATGTGGAGAAACATTCGACTCGCGTGATAAAAGAAACTAGTGGGACTGTAAACGGTGGAGAGAACAGAGGACGGAGTCGTGGCCCAGATCTAAGCTGTCTAAGGACCAAAGATATTAGCTGCTGTCCCCAGAGGCTGGTCCATCATCAGCTGATGCCGATGGGCTCCGAGCTTGGACATGAACTGGATTTTACTGAGTGAGTTTGTTGAGTTTATAAATGTAACTAGAACCTCACTCAGTAGAGTTCACACCTTCACCAACAGTTAAATTCATCCAGTTTATTTTCATCTGCATCCAATCACACACACTCATGAACTTCAGTCCTGTGAACGTGAAGATCTGTGAGTTACTGACAATCTGACTGTGGAGATAATAAACATCTGGTTCTCTTACTTGACTCCGAAGCGATCCATGAACATGATGTGGTTTCTGAAGGTTCTGTTGATGTCCAGGTCGATCTGCTTGATCTCAGACGAGTAGAGTCGGGCCTGCTCCTTCATTCTCTGAGGAGAACATCACCCAGGTCAGGGGGTCACAGACACTGACCCTGTTTTTAAATGTAATCTCATTCTGATCTATATTTTCACAGAGAACACACTGGCTTCAGGAAGCAGCTGCAGGTCGGGTCGCATCACGAACACATACCTCGTACTTGCCCTCGTTCTCCCTCTTGATCCTCTCCACGTCCAGCATCAGGGCCCAGGCTCGGCCCCGGAGCTGCAGCGGGACGCCCTTATAGACTCGTTTCACCATCTGACAACCAGAGAGAAGGAAAACATTAACACCGACCGAAACGAAAAGCCAGAAGGTTCAGAGAGACAGCGATGGAAAGTTTGACCACCTACAGCTCGCCTACGACACTGTTCACAAGAACGAGGGTTTTCACTGAGCGAACAGAGTGTGTGTGTGTGTGTGTGTGTGTGTGTGGTTTGTTTACCTGTGTGGGTTGGATGGATTTAAAATATCTGCAACGTGACGCCTCACTACTGTGGGCACTGGTGTTCACAATCAAACATCTGTTTCTGAAATGACCTCAAATCTTTTATTTGTATTATTGTCAAGATATTAAACGATAGAATAAACTCTAAACTCTAAACTTCCAGTTCATCAGGTAAATGGGAGCTGGATCATTTGTTTAAATTACAGGAGGCAGCCGAGCAACAAACTGTGTCCGGAGGAGAAAGACGAGGACGGATATTTGCTGCAGGGGAACTGTTTAATCCCTGGAGAGAATCATCTGGAAAAACATGCAGGAAACAAAGTCGCCAGAGTGTGAGTTTAGAGAACATGCCCACGCTGCACCATCGGAGACGCAGCTCCATGTTTGTTCCGTGTTTGTTCTCCACCTCCCGATGGACACAAAAGGCTCTTTAGCTTCTCAAAGCTCCACAGTGTTCAACAGCTGAACGGTGAGGAAACTAAATAACACCAAGAGGAGGAGCTGAGAGAGGCTGAAGATGAGTTTATAAAATGAAAAGGTACCGATCCAGCCTGTGTCTCCTACTGACTCATATTTCACTGATGACACTGATCTCTGGTCAGTGACAGGGATCCAGAGTTAAACTGCTCGGCCCTGAAATGTGACGGCTTCAAGTTAACCTGCAGCCACTTCACACCGTCTCCTGTAAATACAGACGTGAAGACGTTTTTAATAAAACAACTATCAATCAGTTTTCAGTCTCTGTTACTCACCCTGTCACTGTTCCTGTATTTATCCCACTTCTTCACCATCTTCAGCCATTTCTCTGTTCTCTCTATCTCCAGCTGCTTCAACTGTCAACCAGACAAAATACACATTTAGACAGACAGACAGGTGGACAGACAGACAGACAGACAGGTGGACAGGTGGACAGACAGACAGGTGGACAGACAGGTGGACAGACAGACAGACAGACAGACAGACAGGTGGACAGATAGTTAGACAGACAGGTGGACAGATAGTTAGACAGACAGGTAAATAAACCTGCAGCAGCTACCACAGTAACATGATGCTCACACACTGACGCTTCAGTATTAATCACATATAATAATTTATCAGTCATTAGGATCAAATACATTTACTTTAATACTTTAACCACAGTTTTAATACTTTAGTATAAGAATTTAGTGACATCTAGTGGTGAAGTGGCAGATTGCAGAAAGCTTATTCCAGACATTTCTGTCGTCTTTACCTTTTCTTCATGTGCTGTCGGGGCCGGTAGTTCGTCCTCACTGGAAGACAAATGAAACAGAATCAGAAAACCAAGTTGACAGAGATCGCTGCACAGCGCCACCAACTGGAAGGACAGCGCTCAGACCAGGGCAACACAGGACGGACTTACTGCATGAAGCCGAAACGGTCAGTGACTTTGTAGATGCTGTAGTCAGCATCTTCCCAAGGGTCGATCTCCACCCCGCCCTGCCTGCCCTGTAACACACAAACACACAAACACACAACATGTTACATTCACACTGTACTGAGCCTCACATTCAAACTTTCAATATGTTAAACAGAACCAGTGAAATCTGCCTCGAAAACCAATTATTATTTTTTATTTAAGAGTAAAACTGGGGTTTGATGAGTGATCCTCATGATTCACAGACAAACTGCAGCTCGGATGTTTGTATCATGGAAAATCCCTCCGAGCACCAATCAGGTCTCAGTGTTGACACAACACAGAGGGAGCTGATCCTGCGACAGGCGACCACAGAGGCCACTGATGAGCGGTTGTCTGCCTGACTGGACGGCAGCCAATCAGCCTCCTGCTCTCAGCGAGGGGGGGTGTACAGCTTCATCGAGGTTGAGTCCGAGGCCCCTGAGGCCCGTGAGTGATGTCATGAAAGTGAGAAGACTAAAAATACTTTCTCACTCAGGGTGTTTGGAGACATCGAGCGTCGGAGCCTGATTTCAAATCAACGGCAGCTGAAGCCAGTGAATCAATTCATGCTTTTTTAACACACAACTAAATAAAGGTCGTATTTTACTGAACTCCACTTTTCAGCTGTGGGTTCAAACACGTGTGTGTGTGATGGATGAGGCCGGATCTCAGACCTTCATGTGTGAATGAAGCCTGAACGTGTCGGGTTCTGAACCTCAGGTGAAACAAACATGTGATCTCTAACTTCTCTGGGTTAAAAACAACAGCTTTGATCGACACGAGGTTGAAACCAACATCCACTCGTAGATCTGACGGACCGGGCTCGCAGCCGCCCCCCCCCCCCGGAGGTCGGTGTCAAGTCAATCGAGATGCAGTGTGTCACTGCTGTTGCTATGGCGAGACAGACCCCCCCCCCATCACCCCGCCGCCCCGAGCTGCTGAGCTAAATTTAACCTCCGACCGCCGCCGCCATCAACGACCAGAACTGTTTTCTAACTGTAGTTTATCAGAATGTTCAGATTCGAACGGGTTTAATCACATTATTACACAATGTCTTATTCACACACTGAGTACTCACATCCTCCTACACACACTGCACTGCCCCCCCACAGAGTACAGTTTGTTTTATTCAGCCATGAAATCACCAAAGTGTAAACTCCGCCTCCTACGAACTCACACACACATTAACTCATCCAGACCTGTAGTACTTTCAAATGCTGACCATTCATTTGGGTTTTTAAAAAATACAAAATATTTCAGGATCAAATTAAAGATAAACACCAATATTTAATTTACATTAAATGATTAAAGTTCATACTGACTCA